TATTTTAAAATGCATATGTGAACCTGTCATTACAGATAATTCATATGAGTTTACATATTCGTCTTTAAATGAAATTTTTTATATGATTCACATATCAACAATCTTCTTAACCTTATTTTCTCATGATATTTAGCATTTTTATTTAAAATTATCCACATATATATATATATATATATATAGAGAGAGAGAGAGGGGGGGGGGGGGGAGGGAGGAAATAGACTCAATCAAATAGAAACCATAGAAAGCATACAAACCATACAAACTAATCTCAATCATTCATCTAGTCTAACGAATATTTGATTTCATATATATATCGATTGTTACCTAATATAAAGTATTGATCATAATTAACGAACTATAATTATCTTCCATAAATATTCAAATCATAAAAATAAATCTTTATTCATTTTCATAAATATTGATTTATTGGTTTGTAATGTTTAAAAGGTTTRCATTTGATTTGCCGTCTATATATAACACAAATAAACAAACTAACTGACAGTAAATTTATATTATACTACTAGAAAAGAAAGCATCATTCACAAAGTTGCAATCGATTTGTAATAGATTACTGAAGGATTATTTTCTGTGAATTTAATCAGATCTTACAAGTTTATTATTCCTGTGTTYGACAATTGTTTGGTTTTTGGTTATTGATTGAACATGCATATATCTGCCTTTCCATTATTCAGTTTTTGTTCAATCATCTTAACAACAGTAACTAGATAAGAACCKTCACTTTAAAAGTTCTTATTAGAACCTAATGGACCTGCAAATTGTCCATCTTAGATGTAAAGATGTCGATTTTTTTTTTTGTAAGAAAAAGGTAGGAGATGGTCGGATACATTTTTTCTGAAGGGAACCGGGGGTGCGAAACCGGCGCAACGATCTGCCTCATTGCATAGCTTACAGTCGGTCATGGTCTCTAATTAGAAAGATCGGTAGGTGTGATCCTTGGATGGCTCGGGCTCTTTTACAGTTGTTTCTACTAAGAATTACATTGATTCCAGATTGTTGGTACCATGGGTGCTATTGTGACAAATGTCACAACCGCATGGCACAATAGTTAAGAGGACCCTACTTTTAGTACCATCGGTGCTGTTATGACAGATTTCACTATCTCATTGCACTATACTGACGCTCTATAATTAGATTTTCTTTACTGGATCACTCGGTTCAACACTTTCTTCAACTAGGACAAAAATCATATGTTATAATAACCATGCACTACACGTAAAACTCAGACATTAAAATAATCTTATACATGTGTATATATATACATTTCCATCTGTATGTATATAGGTATATGTTT